ACACCCCGTCTGAGGAGAGTCCGAATCAAATTAGCCTATAAACCGCAGCCTTGGGGTTTTCTGGTTAAGTTAATCCAATGCTTACCTTTACTGGGGAGAAACGCTCAATAGGTAATTGGTGAATTAATCATGTTTTAGCCAAATTCCATCTGATAGCCTGCACGGATTATGTATGACTGTGCCAACACTAGACCGATTGCGGTAAGATATTCTGAAAATGATCACGGCGACCGGGATTTCGGTGAATGCAGTCCACATAATCGATAGATGACATTTATCCGCGTAACGCACAAGTCCAGTCGTGTCGAATGCTTACTTTCGATCGGAAAGTCGTTGTTACACGTGGGATTGATGTTGGAAAAGCTGTCCAAAATCACTGCATGTGATAAAGAGAATGACTGTGAACCGGTGTCACAACACTGTCGTTTAAATTCCGTTGCACTAACCAGTTGAATCGCGATGCATTGCGGTTGGAACTGACTAGATGCTGCCTCGTGACAAGCAACTTCATCCGATTTTGGCAATCCGTGGGTTCTTGGTGGATCCTGGGTTGCTGCACCCAGGATGAAAGTGTCGAAATTTACTGCCGATCCGCTCATGTCTCATCGAGCCTTCCTTTAGTGAGTGATTGAACGAAGCTGTTGAGCTCCCTTCGAAGTGAGTCAGACTCCATAAACAGCCGTGGACCCGTTATCCAAATCAAAAGGCCCTTAATCAGCTTGCTCGATGACGATAAACAACTACATTTTGGTTCTTACAATAAAAGCACGGACTACGTTATACACGACAAATACGGTTCATTTGGTACAATATAGAAGACGACATACAAATTCTGAACCTTACTCTTTGTTCATAGTTCCACCTCTAAATCTGGTGGGACTGTACATGGTTTCATAGTACCAAGTAAGACCATGTTGGTTTGCCTGGCTCCTGGTCTGAGAAACTTGGGGAAATCAATGAAACCGACTATTCCCATTCTCATCATCCACGCCAGTTTAGCATCAGTTTTTTCCGCCGGTGCTTCGCCGACTTGAAATCAGATTTTATGTGGACGGCTTATTGTGAGAGAAAGAATAAATTTGAATAGGCGGGGGCTTCTGTTCCAGCCTACCACCACCATTTGGGGATGCCTAAACGTCCAGACACTCAGTCAGAAGATGCGGATGGAAACTGGCAACATGGAGCCTAGTGAGATGGATTAGCAACCTTAACATGCGGTCATCAAAGAGAATTATTCTTGAGTTACTTTTGAAATGTTCTAAAAAGTGACCATAACTGTTTTCTGAGAGCTTCCGACTACAAATAGCTACTGTCAATTTCTAAATCTCTGTAAAACACGATTCGTCTGTTCAGACTGGTGTTGCGGGGAGATTCTGTGTGTGCATATAGGGATTGATCATGCATACCGCCCACCCTGATGCTGGGTTGCTTAGTATTATTCATTTGAGAAATTTTTGGCCGCCATTCCGAAAGAAATTCTAATTTTATACGAGACAGCCTTGTCTCTGAACGTGGATTCGTCGTTTGGTGAATATGATAAGAGCTTGTACGTTTGCTGTGCTCGGTATCAAAACATCAACTGAATCACTATAAACTACTCGCCGTGATTGAGTACGTGAATAAGGGTATCAATTTGAGTATTCAGTCTTCGCCGTCATCTCGTTCACCACAGATTTTTCCAATATTTTCACATTCGCATCGATGATTGCAAGGAGATAGGTTATGACATTGCTACGGTGAAAGGTCTGTTGCCTTAGCCAGGAAGGAGACGCACACAGAAAGGCACAGATTTCTCGTAGTCTCGTTCTTACCATCACACGTTCCTCGACTGAAGTCTCTGTTGCACACCGAACACTCGTATCCTAATTATCTCGTTGTGGATTCACTGACATCAGTATACATCAGCTGTGGTGTTGAAATAACGGCGTCTGATCGAGGGCCCAAAACGTCTCAGCTGAGTTCATCACCGATGCCATGTCTCACAGCTATACAGCAAAATAACCCATAGGTTAACGTGCGTACGAAAAGCTTCGTTACCGTTGACGAAAAGAAAACTGATCGGAGAAGTTTAATCAATATTTCGTCCTGTAAGTGAAGCCAGGGAGGACTGCATTTTGGTGCCACACATTCACACACATTCACATTTCCACGCATTCTAGAAATAAACCGTCGACCAACAGGCTCGTGTTCCAAACACTTAAGCATGTTCTGATACTCACACGTTAATTGTTATCGCGCTGCCATGAACAAATGCATAACTAGGACTCCAATAATATTGAAGGAGGTAAAATTTCAAACCCAAAATTTACTGTTGGTTTCAGACAAACACGTCTCTCTGTGAGATGGCCATATTCCACTCAGTATTCGTATAGGATCTCACATATCCTGGAATTTACCCCCGTTCTTGGTGTTATACACCACCTCACCGTTGGCAGCGGCATCGCCTCAAAGAGAAATTTAATCTGTAATTGGTATAGGTTTGTGAGATAAGCTTTTCAATCATGAGTTTCTGAACGCATGATCGAATGAGGCGAAAATGACCTTTACGCAGATTGTATTTGTGATAGAAAAAAATTGGACTTTGGTTGTAACAAGTCCTGTCACTAAACAAAAACATGTCTATAGTCACAAATATCGTAATTCACCTCGTCACCGCATTTATCACGTCACTGAAATTTGCGTACAAGTTCACTGCCCAGCCGGTGTCGAATATATGGGGCAGGAGACAATGGAATACGCCAAATGGTGCAAACCGGCGTAATCTGCTCGATGAAACAGTGTGATTACACAAGTAAGCTTTTTGTTTTCCGTTGCCACAATACGACATGGTGTTACCCAACAATAACTGAGAGAAAGACGGCAAAATGATCACATCTTAAGCGGAGCCTAGAAAAAGAATGATGCCCTTGAAAATCAGAACCAATTGCATACCAAGACAGAGAACCACACAAAGAAATCTTCAGTGAAAAAAATGGTAGCGACTAGTTCAGCGCGGACTTGTTTTTCCCCCGACGAATTAACCATTCTATCGCGACTAACAAGCGACTGAACACGGACGATTTTCGCAGCTCAAAACTCCGACGGATGGTACTATACTTAATAAATTTCACAAGAAACAATTTAGCATATCAAAATCATTGGATATATTATCTCGCCGAAATCTCCGATGAAGTTACGGAAATTTTCGAAAACCAGATGATATTCGATACTGAGTACCCAAATAGAACCACTTGTTCACATACTCAAGCATTGTACGTAGTTTACATTGATTCATTGAAGATTCGATACTCAGTACAGCTAACGTAAGCTCTGATTCGATACACCATACCGTCGAGTATGAACTGCGTCCCGGAGTTCCCCTCTTCCGGATTACAACAGCCGGCTGACCTCGAGCACTTTTTGACATGTAACATTATACTAAGAGTTATCTTAGTAAAAACAAGTCGATCACCACACTACCAAATAAGTGAGATTGCCTTATCTGCCTGAGTTTCTGTGGGGTAGATCACTGCAGTGCGTAAAAGATATCGAAGGCGGGCCAATGATCCCGATGCTAAACAGTCGTATGACTTATGGCTCACTCGTCAAATCCGCTAGCAACGACTGTGAAAGTGCATCCTCGACGAGGAAAGCAGCGCATTCATTGACATGTTGGCCGGATAGTATGTCGAAATGCAGGGAACTTTATCACAGAACAGTGGTTGGAAAAACCACTGTATGGCTCAGACTTCAAGCTACGTCTTCAATGGCTGCAGAAATTCTAGCTAGGAGTTTGTGCATTGTTGAGGCGTTCGGCAACCGGACGCGCTATTTGGACGATTCAGTTTTTCCAAATCTGTACAATGATGTATGTGAGGGGCCATGACTTCTTTCAGATGTGGTTGACAGCACTTGACTTCGAATCAACAGCATACACACGGGACATTTGTCGCAGTCATCGTTCTAGAATTGTCATTCCGCTGTAAGCCTGCAGGCAACCAGCAGCAGCACCTGGGTCGGCGAAAGAGTCACTGGATTCCTGCTGGTTCACGTTCCACACGAAGTCCTGTAAATCAAATTGTGATTGAAAACACATCGATTCAATTCACGCACAGAGGTCAACAATGCAAATAGGCCGTCTTGTTCATGTGAGCCTCTCGAAACCTCAAGACCATTTTCATCAAAACGAGGAGAATTATTACTACTTTCGGCTTGTATGGCTTGCAAGTTTTTATCATTGCTTCCAGGTCAAAACAGAATAAAGGAAAATCTTGCTTCGCGCATCCTCGATTTGGAAAATTAAGGATAAAGGTTGCAGAATTTGATGAAATCCCAGAGCAAACTTCTGCTGGTTTGAAAGAGCCCATGCGATGATTTTCAAGAGTTTGCATTTTTATGTAGACTAAAACCATAGGCAGAAGTAACTTCCCTGGTTTAAAGCTTTGCGTGGCCTCCGATGTCACTCATTTAGGTCAACAAGAAACGTCATGAAACCGTTTTTTACACAGTTAGTAAATACCCAGCTTTTGAGAAGTTTCCATTTTGAGTCCAGTTTGTTTGCAAAGCCCAATCGTAACAGAGACATATTTTCTGAATGCATATTTTCAGTATGACTTTTATTAAAAATCCGTGTTTATGTCCCCTTGGACCTAAGTTTTCAATAAAAGTACTTAGTCAGCTGCTACGTGAAACCGTTTCGAGGTCTCAGATTGCCACTGATTTCTGTCTGATGCGCACAGGTTTTCAACGAAATGATCCACATTTTCGTTGAAACCAGCACAAATCACCAATGGGCCCACATTTTTGGAATAAGTTTGCACAAATGATCAGTCATTGAACAGCCTGATCAAAATGCCCCATCACACCCTGATCAGCATAAACTTTGTACCGCAGACCTATTAGATTTCTGATGGATAACTTTTTCACACTATCGCCTTACCTGTGTAAGGCAAAGTTCGATTCACAGGAGAAGCACAGTATAAAATTCTAAGCACATGAAACTTCAAAATGGCCAGAATACGATGCGTCGTCGCTCGCTCCTTATTGCGTTCTTGCTATGCATCGACCAGGTTGCATGTTTGGAAGCCGTCGGTGTCCTCAATCAGTCATCCATATTTAACAATAATCCGTCAAAGAACTGGGTCGTCCTTGCCGCTGGTACAAATACCTGGGATGAATATCGACATCAAGTAGGTTTTCGTCTGGTTTTTCATTGGTTGGAGGCACAACGGTTTATGCAACTTACGCAACGAAGGGTTCTCAAAGTCGAAATTTGTACTAATGGTACCCCAATCGGATGTGTCCTACCTAGGTTCCTCCATGCCTGTGAAATTTCAGTCAAAAAGGTGATGCATAGAAGCCACAACGAATGGACACACTAATGTACACACTAATGGACTAGTGGCTTGTGTTCGTTTTCGTCAGTATTTCATTGTCGTGCAACGATATTTTGCTTTTGGTGGGGTTGATTCTCCGGTCCTATTAGCTTAGCAACGACATTGGCTGTAACGGCGAAAGCACCGGAGTTTCTAGACAATGTGAGGGGATAAATCTGTACTGCTGAGTGAGATCAAGTAGCGTGTATTTGGAATAAACATAAGGAAATCCATCTTGGTCAAATTCATTCGTCCGCTCGTGTATCATTTGCATGGGGTTTTATGAGAATCGTGTTGAAAACGTTACACATAATGAATCCGTCTGATACTCCACCAAGTATGGATTATCCTACACACTCTACTTGCCTTCTTTATCCGCCATGCGTCACTCCGCCTGTTATCCTTAATTCGCGTGTCATTTGTGATTTCATTCAGGCGGACATTTTCCACGCGTATCAACTCGTGCGTAAAAACAAAGTTCCGGCGGAGAATATAATTACCTTCGCCTACGACGATATTGCATATCATCCCAGGTATATATCGCGTGCAATTTTCGCCATATGGTATCAACTATATTGTAGATACGCGCTTCGTTGTTTGGCTTTAACACTTCTCATTTTTGTACCGTATTTCTCATGGATATACGTGCGTCACGTGAGATGTATAATAACTTTTCTTTTCTTCATGAGTTTTCATGAAGTCGAGTTGCAGATATTTATGGCGTTTCATGTGTCACTTCAGGTGTCACATCAACTCTTCTTTCATGTGACGCCCTTTCATGACTGTATACGCCATAGAACCCTGATTCAGGCAGCATATTCTGATGACGATAATGATGATTATTATTATTATGATGATGATGCTGATGATGGTGATGATGATGATGATGATGATGATGATGATGATGCTAATGGTGATGATGATATGTTCTCGTTTTATTTTTCAGTATTCTGAAATTAATTACTTTGATATCTAAATGTCGCTTTCCTGGATCAGCCGCCTGATGATTTGGAGTAAATATTAACCAGAAAATCTAGGAGTCTTAAAATTTGTAATACAGCCGATTGCTAGTTGCAGAAACCTACTGAAGACATAGAATTTCCGTTCTTGGTTTGAGGTTGTAATAATCGTAGGTCGTTAATTACCGCATCAAATTACATTCAAGTGCACTAGATGAGAATATTCTTATAAAATGTACGGCTTGTGGTGTTTGGCTGCAAATTTACCTTTTCGCAACTTCATTTCTGATGTGCTTTGTTGTTGGAGGATACCTAAATTATTAGTGCGTAGAAGATCATTAGTTAACATTTTCATAAAGGATATTACTCGAGCGTTTCAACGCCTTTGACGGCCCATGACCGGTTTCGCCTTTCTTGTGGCTCACCAAGTGGGCCCAGTCCACGACTGTCCGTATACCTTGTTTTCCTCATTTTCCTAATGTTCCCTATTTTGCTCCACAGAAAACCTTATGTGCTACTTGAAACGAGATTGGCCTGTTTTCGAGAAATACGCTCATTTGCAGATCAATTTTTTTGTAGAATATCATAAACAAGAGATGTCGTTGAGTCTAACGTGAAAGGCAATTTGATTTGCAAATGAATGTTTTCCACGATTATTAGTTAAAATTTAATCGAATGTGTGACACAAGGTGCACAAAACAAGGTCCAAAAAATGCACGCGTACCCAATTGCAACCGAACATGTGAGCCATTCATTTCTTCCTATCTCACATACATATTAATTTCTCCCGAAAAACCCACGGCCAAGTTTCACTCCTTTATTCCAGAAATCCGTTTAAAGGCAAAGTGTTCCACGACTACGAGCACGAAGATGTCTACAACGGTGTGGTAATTGACTACCGTGGAAAAGTAAGTCCGTGTTCCGGTGCGCTGCAATCAAGTGAATTCCAGCATAAGTTCAGCTTGTAACACAAGGTGCAAGTGAAATGACACTGGTGATCAAACCACAATGGAAACCGTAGGCCAGATTGATCAGTTCTACCATAGTACATAATGCTGAATTTACTTGAACAAACACTAGTCATAAGACCATAGAGAATTCTCAGGTAGCCCTTGACGAGTTCATACTTCTTCTTTCGGCCTATCAATTAGGCTGGCGCTCTTGTCAAAAGAAACACGAAAAGTGATATCAAGATTGATACACCAACCAAACCAGGCAGCGTGACGAGGACAGCACATTCAGCTAAAGAATATCATAACGTAGACGTTCAACTGTGATTCACTTGATTGCTGATGAGTGACACTCACTTCAAGATAGCGACTATTTCTCACATGTGTTTCATTCCTTTGCTACTGAGATAGACGTGGGCTACTTGATCGTCCTTCCAGGTAATCCATGTTCAACTCAACTGCCAACACTAGGAGTGAGGAGCAAATCCAAATGCCGTGCTTGGCAAACCGACCAACAATCGAGTTATTCAGTTTTCATCACACAGCGATCATCGCAAATAAAATGTGAGTGAAGATGGAGGGCAGATCGTAGATTTTAATTATTTCTTGGGCTGAAAGTGGATGCTAACTGAGAAGAGAGTGAGTGTGTGGAACACCATTTTCACAGGAATAACCGTTCATGCGTGTTCATCTGTTTTAGGATGTCACACGGGAGAACTTCGTGAAAGTATTAAAAGGCGATCAGAAACTTGCAGCCAATAAGAAGAAGGTGCTGAAAAGGTGAGTTGGCTCGGAAGTGGATACTGTTGATGCACTTGCTAACCACAGCTGGAATTCTAGTCATCCAGTTCGAAATTTTGGGGTTTACGAAATGCGTGTTCAGTATTCTCGTAAGTGACTTGGTACATAATCTCTTTAAGTAGAGCTGCCAGAAGTCGGTCAATAGGATTTGCTTCATTGCAGGGGAAACCCAGTTCATCAAGTTCAGGCTATGGGTTATTATTATATCGTATGCATCAATCGCCACTGGTAACAATTTTCGGAAATGTTCATATATGCTCAGTTGGTCTTTTACAACCTGGGTTCGGTCGATCTTGATTCGCTCGGATTAAGGAGTTGTTTTAACTCACGGTATTGAATAAGGCAAATGAACACTGCTTATTGGATGATCCAAATCCAGGTCCCCTTGCATTCACCGATGATACTCCCAGTCTTTGGAACAAGTGTCGCGCCTTAAGTTCTATATGGTTGAGTAGCGTCGAAGTTGTTTTAGATTCGAAATTCCTTCCACGGTTTCTCGACCCGCATACGACTCGATGGGAAGTGTCGGCATACAGAGACAAGCCAGGGAACGAGGAAAACATTTATTCACTTGCAAACCTTAAATAGTTCTTCCGGAAAAGTATTCAATTTTTGGATTTGGAACTGCGACGCAATCCGCAATCAACCACTCTTTCTGCTTAAGCTTTGTTCAATAACAAATATAATAAGTAAATAAACATAAAGGTGGTTAAAAGCATTTCACAACCTAATCTGACCATATTCAGTGTCTCGATCGCGTCTGTAATTTGTTGGGATGGAGAAGAAAAAGAGAACGTCTGTAGAATAGGTGACCGAAGGTGATAAACTCATCCGCATAATAAACCAAGTTTATTAAGTGGAAGAGCATTCACAAAAACAAACTCCGGAATCCGGGCTACAAAAAATTGCCATTGGAAAGAAGCTATCAAAACAAATTACTAAAACCTGAAGTCGGATTAAGAGCCAATCGAATGTGGGGAGGCAGGGAACGATACAACTGAAATCGATAACCACTCAATCAGAACATGATGAAATGGTCCTCAGACAGAAACTACTCAAAGCAGCAATCGAATTCAGGGGATGCAGGCCACAACCCATCACAGCTCGAAATGGACCATCTGAACACCGAGAAGTGTATGCTGCCTTCAACCAGTCACAGCCGCATAATTTCAGACAGAAACTGTCTGGAGGAATGGCATTCCCCACTATTCATCCATGATGTCACTTCGGTTGGTTATGAAACATTTGCAAGGGATGTAGGACCTGCCGACCCAAACATTCACTCATGATGTCACTTTGTTTGTTTATGAAACATTTGCCAGCTGATCACTACGATCAGAGAACAGATGAACATCACCTTAATCAACGATCAACAAACGGAACATTTCTACATCAGTTTTAGATTAAATCACGTGGCTTATGAGATATCCGTTATCAAAATGTAGGATCGCCTCACCTTGGTCATAATGTTTTCCCTCAGTAGTGTATTCATTAGGTAGATATTTTATTAAGCAGATGTGATCATGCTAACTAGACCGCGAGTTCGAAAGAGCTGAGCGTGACTGTTCCAAAGACAAGATGATAAAACTAGCTAAAGTGGAAAATTGTTTCCAACTACCTTCGTGCATTGAAAACCATAGGAGCTATTATATACCGCGATACAAGTAATACCCAACGGATTATGTGCTTCCCTAAGCCCCTCTTCAAGACCACCTTAAAAATTTCTGCCCACTTACAGCGGTCCTGATGACAATGTGTTCATCTTCTACTCTGGCCATGGTTTGAAATCCCTTATCACCTTCATAAAACAAGATGTAAGTTTATTTAATTTTGGTATCCGCGTTTATAGCACACAGTTTTCCAATCGGAAGCTTATATGCAAAACAAACTCCGGAATCCGGGCTACAAAAAATTGCCATTGGAAAGAAGCTATCAAAACAAATTACTAAAACCTGAAGTCGGATTAAGAGCCAATCGAATGTGGGGAGGCAGGGAACGATACAACTGAAATCGATAACCACTCAATCAGAACATGATGAAATGGTCCTCAGACAGAAACTACTCAAAGCAGCAATCGAATTCAGGGGATGCAGGCCACAACCCATCACAGCTCGAAATGGACCATCTGAACACCGAGAAGGGCATGCTGCCTTCAACCAGTCACAGCCGCATAATTTCAGACAGAAACTGTCTGGAGGAATGGCATTCCCCACTATTCATCCATGATGTCACTTCGGTTGGTTATGAAACATTTGCAAGGGATGTAGGACCTGCCGACCCAAACATTCACTCATGATGTCACTTTGTTTGTTTATGAAACATTTGCCAGCTGATCACTACGATCAGAGAACAGATGAACATCACCTTAATCAACGATCAACAAACGGAACATTTCTACATCAGTTTTAGATTAAATCACGTGGCTTATGAGATATCCGTTATCAAAATGTAGGATCGCCTCACCTTGGTCATAATGTTTTCCCTCAGTAGTGTATTCATTAGGTAGATATTTTATTAAGCAGATGTGATCATGCTAACTAGACCGCGAGTTCGAAAGAGCTGAGCGTGACTGTTCCAAAGACAAGATGATAAAACTAGCTAAAGTGGAAAATTGTTTCCAACTACCTTCGTGCATTGAAAACCATAGGAGCTATTATATACCGCGATACAAGTAATACCCAACGGATTATGTGCTTCCCTAAGCCCCTCTTCAAGACCACCTTAAAAATTTCTGCCCACTTACAGCGGTCCTGATGACAATGTGTTCATCTTCTACTCTGGCCATGGTTTGAAATCCCTTATCACCTTCATAAAACAAGATGTAAGTTTATTTAATTTTGGTATCCGCGTTTATAGCACACAGTTTTCCAATCGGAAGCTTATATGCGAATTGACTGAAAAAGGCTTAAGTGGACGTATTTTGGCGCATTGACATCGGTAGTCTTTTGTAAAAGAGGGTTTATAGTCAAGCTGGCCTACACATCAACCGAAAAATGGAACACAAACTAAGATGTTCGTACGTCAATCTCAAGAGTGATATCCCCAGGATATCTCTCGTCAAGGTGCTTTAAATGATAACGTCACATAGATTTCCTTTTACTAAGCTTAAGGTCACTCAACTCACATGATTTCGCGGTTAATCCAGACGCTATAAGCAATGAACCTGGTCAAATACGGACGGTCATGAGGCGTAGCTGATCCGAGGAACGCCTCAGGTGTATCTTTCTTGACGGCATGCTCTTGATTCTCCAGAGGCAGCGCAATCTTTGGTAGTATGGAAAGGTGTTCGTCTTCCTATATGAGAATGCAGTCTGTGNAAAACAAACTCCGGAATCCGGGCTACAAAAAATTGCCATTGGAAAGAAGCTATCAAAACAAATTACTAAAACCTGAAGTCGGATTAAGAGCCAATCGAATGTGGGGAGGCAGGGAACGATACAACTGAAATCGATAACCACTCAATCAGAACATGATGAAATGGTCCTCAGACAGAAACTACTCAAAGCAGCAATCGAATTCAGGGGATGCAGGCCACAACCCATCACAGCTCGAAATGGACCATCTGAACACCGAGAAGGGCATGCTGCCTTCAACCAGTCACAGCCGCATAATTTCAGACAGAAACTGTCTGGAGGAATGGCATTCCCCACTATTCATCCATGATGTCACTTCGGTTGGTTATGAAACATTTGCAAGGGATGTAGGACCTGCCGACCCAAACATTCACTCATGATGTCACTTTGTTTGTTTATGAAACATTTGCCAGCTGATCACTACGATCAGAGAACAGATGAACATCACCTTAATCAACGATCAACAAACGGAACATTTCTACATCAGTTTTAGATTAAATCACGTGGCTTATGAGATATCCGTTATCAAAATGTAGGATCGCCTCACCTTGGTCATAATGTTTTCCCTCAGTAGTGTATTCATTAGGTAGATATTTTATTAAGCAGATGTGATCATGCTAACTAGACCGCGAGTTCGAAAGAGCTGAGCGTGACTGTTACAAAGACAAGATGATAAAACTAGCTAAAGTGGAAAATTGTTTCCAACTACCTTCGTGCATTGAAAACCATAGGAGCTATTATATACCGCGATACAAGTAATACCCAACGGATTATGTGCTTCCCTAAGCCCCTCTTCAAGACCACCTTAAAAATTTCTGCCCACTTACAGCGGTCCTGATGACAATGTGTTCATCTTCTACTCTGGCCATGGTTTGAAATCCCTTATCACCTTCATAAAACAAGATGTAAGTTTATTTAATTTTGGTATCCGCGTTTATAGCACACAGTTTTCCAATCGGAAGCTTATATGCGAATTGACTGAAAAAGGCTTAAGTGGACGTATTTTGGCGCATTGACATCGGTAGTCTTTTGTAAAAGAGGGTTTATAGTCAAGCTGGCCTACACATCAACCGAAAAATGGAACACAAACTAAGATGTTCGTACGTCAATCTCAAGAGTGATATCCCCAGGATATCTCTCGTCAAGGTGCTTTAAATGATAACGTCACATAGATTTCCTTTTACTAAGCTTAAGGTCACTCAACTCACATGATTTCGCGGTTAATCCAGACGCTATAAGCAATGAACCTGGTCAAATACGGACGGTCATGAGGCGTAGCTGATCCGAGGAACGCCTCAGGTGTATCTTTCTTGACGGCATGCTCTTGATTCTCCAGAGGCAGCGCAATCTTTGGTAGTATGGAAAGGTGTTCGTCTTCCTATATGAGAATGCAGTCTGTGATGAAAAGCCCAGAAACAATGTACACCTGTTCGATTCTTATTGGGGATTAACTGTGGTGGGCTATGTGGTTGCAAAATTTAACCGTTTGGCCACGGGAGGCAAACAGACAGGCTGATTCATCCGCAGTTAGTCAGCATATGAGGTCACTAATCCATCGATCACGAAATCCACATCACTGGTGACTGACTCGTCGAATGACAACTTCTCAAATGAAAAGCGCATTCGTCGTGTGAATTATTGTTTCTTCTGAACTAATTACAGTCTGTTGGTAGTAAGCGGACATTTGGAAGTGTTCAAATCAATGGGATCGCCCTAAATTTCGTGAAACGTTATTATGGCTAAAAAATCTCCATAGATAGGGAAGTGGGACATATGGTTGAAAACGGCCGTGAAATTGGCAGTCTGAGTGACTTAAAAATCACTCTTTCAAACTAGTAATTTATTGTTCCCAGTTTTGACTGCAAACCTGTTCTCTCTAAAATTGGCCCTTGCGTGTTGTTTTCAAGGAACGTAAACATTACTGTCAACGTTATATCTAACCAGCATTACAGGGGACTTGGCCTTGATCCCTGAGCTATCTCGAGCTCATGAAAATTTTCCCTATTGTCTTGCGACAGCTGTATGCCATGGAGTTGAACGATACCCTCGCCTACATGCATTCGAACAGAATGTACAACAAGTTGGTGTTATACGTGGAGGCTTGCGACTCTGGCTCCATGTTTCGCGATATTCTTCCTTCAAATATGGGAAGTAAGTAGCGTTAACCTCTGGCTGGTTCTTGCAAAGATCCTGTGAAATCGCATTCACATTTTTGCTCACATTTAGTTTAAACGCCGCGCTGACCCGTAAAACAGAACGAAGTTCCAAGCCTGGTTCAATCTTGTTCTCTTCGAGATCCTTGTATGGAAGTAACCCCTGACTCTACGCAAGAAGCGTTCAGCCGGGGATTGCACAAAATCCAGTCTTCATCGTTTAATGTCAGTTCTGCTGCTGAACTGGTTTCAGATGGGTGGAGGAAACCATTGTATAACCGGTGCAACTCCTGTGATATTTTGGTGTCCCTTTGCAGCAGCCACCAGTGCCAAGTGGATAACTTATTTGTAAACTATAAATGGATCGTGGATCTTTTATGATAAGCGCACTTCAACCCATCATAAAACAAGTCTAATGGTTGTGGCGCGACTAGCATTGACCGTTCTGGTCAGTAGTCATTTTTGAGGGAGATTTACCATAAAAAACAGATTATACATTCACATACTGATTTGATTTCGACGGGTTGACCTAAAAGTATCCAGTGATTTGCCTCGATCAGTGATTGGCAAGTTATGCCCAGTATGAGTTCAAGTATTGATTAAGTTTTAAGGAAAGTCAATGACTGCGCCTACCTGATTCGCCGCAAGAAGAATGAAGACCATAATGTTCTGTCGAGGAAATGTCAGCGACCCTCAGAGTAGTGTGGTTGTTCTAGGCTTCTTGCAGCCTCATTGTTTCTGTGAGTCACAAGATCGGTTCGTCGCTATTTTACCTCACCATTTCACACATATTTGATATTGACCTATACTATCTATTGTGTGAACCCCTATACTTGCAGTCTACGTGACAACATCAGCCAACGAAGATGAAAAATCCTGGGGTGTTTTTTGTGACGACAAGGACATCGAAATTTGTCTAGCAAACGAATACTCGTATGCCTGGATTACAGATTCGGAATACGTAAGTATTAGAAAACTTGCAGATAAGCCTGTCGGTCGTGATGGGTAGTCGGGTGTTATTCAGCACTCTGCGGTAGTCCATTTGATTTCCCAAGGCATTTTTTTTATGCATCAAGGGGATTTATGGCAATTCAGCGATCAAGAGAGCCGGTGGACCCAGACGAATCAAGCAATTGGTTGGATGTCTCAAATTTCGCACCATCCTCCCAATCAGGTTCGCCTACGATCGTTCGGATGGATATGGAAGGGTCTATCAAATGTCTGGGTGCTATCGGTGTAATTCGCCATCTGCGATGGTGAACGCCTGATTCCCACCGTTACTGGTTAAAGAGCTGCAAATCTTATTCTTGAATCAATGTTATTGTAGTTCTTCTTATAATTATCGATTCAGATCGCCTAAGAATTGTCTTGAGTTGTAGGGGCATCAGCATGATTGTGGTAGGCCAGCACCGAGACTTTTCCCAATCCATTTTGATTCTTCGCTTTTGAATAGGGTTCAAATGCGTTTCGAATGTGCGCAAGGAAGCGTCAGTGTTAATTTTGTATGTTGACAATGATGACGTAGATGATGATGACGATAACGTTGCTGACGATGATAACGATGATGATGATAACACTGCTGGATCTCCTGAATGCCTTTGTCTCAATGCATCTGTTGAAATGAATCAATATGACAATGGCTTTCATGCTAGCAATGACAATCCAGATTGTCTGACTGGGTCTCGGATGTATGCAGTAGGCTAGCCTAGGTTTTCATTCCTGTTCCATTTTCCTTCCTTTTCCAGTACAAATATATTAGAATGAATCTCTGGCAGTGGAGCATCAGTATTTTCCTGTGTTGTTGCTGTCTATGATGATGCTGTTGATGATAATGTTGATCATTACCATAGAGCATCAAATCAAAAAGGTTTGTTGTATGTGCATGGTGTCCTGCAACTGCGGATTTCCCATTAATTTACCAGTCGTGTGTGTCGTTCCGTACCTCACTTCTCTTAACTCTAGTGAGGGTTTAACGGTTTTGCTCAAATAGGATGCTTCTTAAAATTGCGTAAGCTGATCTGTTTGCTTCAAATGCTCCCTTTTGTCATTATCTCTCACCCGCGTGCAGAAGGACATAAAAAAGCGTACACTTGAGCAACAATACGAGGAGGTAAAAAAGAGGACAAAGGATAGTCACGTGATGAAATACGGTGAAATGGTGAGTCACAAAACGCCCCGGAGAGAATCAGTTGGGTCACTTGTGTAAAGTCAAACTGTTATGAAAATGAGTGTATTTACCGAGGTGACAGTTGTACTGCGTTACCAGTTAAAGATGACGGTCAATGTTGAAAATACTTGATCAGGAACTCTAGGTTCCTAATCACAGTTCAGCAAGGTGGCTACAACATCCATCTAGATACCCAAGCCAAGCCAGTGTCATTTTTCGGATAACAAATCAATGACGTTGCATGGTACAAGAGGAAGTCAAATCTATATGAATCATCCACTAGTAACTCAGAGGAAGAGTAGATTTACACGATGACTGAAACTTTCATCTGAAAAGCTAACACTCGAGGAGCCACGTGATGTGGATTTCCGTGATTGAACGATGAGTGACGCTGTGTGCTGTGTAAGTGAAAGCCAATCACATTGCTGATCAGTCCCTTGTGGCTTAGCGGATGGTGTCCGGTTAGGAGTTCCCCACTGGAGTGAGATGTGCACTCCTGCTGGCTCCCAATAAAGAGGAAACACCTATTCACTGTTTCTCGGTTTTTCTGCATAGATGGGCCTCATAGTATGCCAAAACATGCATTCAAATGAAAAAGTAATGTTAGGCGGCACAAAGCAGAAGTGTACAATAACAGGGGTAAAACGATCGATATACGCACGTCGCGGAATCATCGTGGTGCGATTCAAGTTTAAACTGTACTAAGTGAGGACGTCGTTAGTGAATTGGCTAGCTGCGTTATGTGATTCAGTCTTGTTGTCAACCAAGCGCACATTCGAAATATACGTCGAAACATCGCACACTGCGCTCCGGTCCGATGCGCACAAATTTATTCAATGTAATTTTGAATTTTGTCATCGACCTGAACGAGCAAACATAGGTGATAATGCTAGCGATTTGGTGGACGTCAATGATGTTCGTGAAACGGTTTCAGAACTGATGTCCATTGATCAACCGGATCTTTCAACACTAACACGTGACCACTAAAGTAAGAATCTACGGTCGTTTTGTTAGCCGCTTCTTTATGATATGGAACAAGACGCCGTCTTGGTTAATAATGACCTGATAGGTGTCTCTTTATTGTTTGTTTCAGGCGATGGGAAGTCTCCCTCTTGGAAAATTTCAGGGTCATTTTGATCTACTGATGCACGGGAATGACGGCGCGATACCAGTATGTGTTCAGTGCATATATTCGATACTTTGAATTGTCTATTGACACAATTATTTCTTACGTCACTAGATGACAACTTTACATTCCAATGACAGTCTAATAAGATGTCACTTCGGTGGCAGAAACGCCGACCATACCAGTTAACATCGACGAACACTGCTAATTACGTTCTGACTCAATAAACTCGATTAAAATATATTAGGCTGCAAAACAAAAGTTATTGCGACCAACAACATGGTTAGGTAGATAGATAGATAGATAGATAGATTAGATAGATAGATAGATAGATAGATTAGATAGATAGATAGATAGATAGATTAGATAGATAGATAGATAGATAGATTAGATAGATAGATAGATAGATAGATTAGATAGATAGATAGATAGATAGATTAGATAGATAGATAGATAGATAGATTAGATAGATAGATAGATAGATAGATTAGATAGATAGATAGATAGATAGATTAGATAGATAGATAGATAGATAGATTAGATTGATAGATAGATAGATAGATAGATAGATGAATAGATAGATGAATAGATAGATAGATAGATTGATAGGCAGATTGACAGACAGATGTATAGATAGGCACGTATTTAGATGTACAGCGGCCAATCTACTTAAACACAGCGGAGCGAGGGAATCGTGAATCAAACACATTGAGCGTCCGATGATTTTCTGTAGCATGGTGAGTGGTAATCGAGCTGAGGTCGTAAACCTATCTATGCAACTGAAAAGCGTTTCACAGGATGCAATTATTTGTGTAGTTCATGTGACAGCCACCGAAGAAACGTGATGTTTGCCGCTGACCCTGAAAATTGCCCCGAAATTATCACCTGCTAAACACAAGATGCTACCTAATTCTGATAACGGGATCTTTGTTTCTTCAACCATTTTGGTTTGATGTTCACGGCATAAAACTATACATGGGAGTTATGGCTCCGTTTCAGATAATCAGCGAATTCCTTGAAAAATTTAGTGGTGTTCAACGTACTCCTAACAGATATAGATCATAATGAAGTTTGCCAGTAATGTACGTTACCCTGGCAACCTAGTGATTGATATTGAGTAGTCTAGGAAGTCAGTTCTGCTAGTCAGCATTGACAGAGCTCCAGTTAAAAAGACGTGCTAAATTGTTTTCTTGGTTCCAGCCGAATGCTGTAGATAGAAAACCCTCATTCCAGGCGCATTTCTTTTCAAAGTCTCGACGTTTGATGGAGGCCGCAACCGAGAAAGTCCGTGAAACCGCTTGGCGAAAGCTGCACCATGCACTGCAGGTTTGTATTTCCTTTTTTGAATTCACGATAAAATATCATTTTAGTATAGGGTTTATTTTTGTGGTGGGGAACTTTCATCAAGGATGTATGGGAGCCGGTAAACGTCATCAGTTCAATATTTCAGCGGCCGTTTCTGGAAGCTACGCAAAAATCCAACGTGATTCATTTAGATGTGCGAGAAATCTTTTATAGTCTAAATAAAACCTCCCACAACTATTCTTCTGGCTTCTTTCAGCTTGGCCACATCGTCAAGGAAACGTTTCGTGACATCGTCATGGATGTGACAACCCACCATAAGCCAACGGTAATGGGTTTATCCAAGAGGGATGAGCTTATGTGTTTCGAGGCGGTATTCGATCGCTTCCGGAGGCACTGCTTCGCAATTCAGCAGGCAAGTTGACCTGGTGAGGCAGGGAAACAAGGGTGTGCAAAAATGTGCATGCATTACTAACCAATGCATTCACCCACGGCGTCAAGTAAGGCGAGCCTCAGTCCCAAAACCACTTCCAGAATAACGTCCAGCAAACGACATTTACGGTAGGATCTTTCGGTTCAATCCGGTACTCACATCACTAACATCCTCGTCGTTTTCTTCAAATTGAGACCTGCATCGGAACGTCCTTATCATTAGTTCAACACTTTATGGAATATGTGAAAGTTCGTTATCTAAAAGATGATTCATGGAAAGTAGGAAGCGATTTAGGCAACTCGTAA